GGCTGCAGAAGGAGCAGGGAGGCGGGGGCTCCCCCAGCTAAGGAGTCACATGTTGAAGGGCAGGTACTTTAAAAAAAAAGCAGATTTCTGGCCTCACTTCCAGAGATCCTGACTCAGCAGCTCCCCAATTTGTCCTGCTAATTATCCATATCTGGGAACCACCAGCATAAAGAATTGTTGTTCACTCTGCAGCCTCTAAGAATATCCTCACATCAGGTTAACTCACCAGAAAATGGCATACCTGACCCGTACGCGGCATATGTTCCACTTGTGCTAAGAATGCTTTCAGTTAACCATGATTTAACATCTTTCCCTAAGCTTTTACTTAATGGTTAAATTAAGGAAGAACACTATGGAGAAAGTTTCTTTCTTGTGCAGAACATTAAGTGGAGACATTATTGCATGATTCAGTTTCTCGCATGTAGAAAGATTCGCTAACCAGTTTCATTGAGTCAGTTGCTACACTCATTCTAACTCATGATGTTTCTCTGAGCCTTAGCTACCAAGAAAGAGATAACTTCTTCTACTTAGAGTAGATTTTCTAATATAATTACTTCTCTGCCCGACCTTCTTACTGATACCTAGTTCTTTACAGTTGCCTTAGCGATTCTATGGTATATTGCCTTTAATTGTCTATTTCCTCAAAGCTTTTTTTTAATAAATAAATTGTTGCTATAAATAACAAATTAATGAAGAAGTTTCTCGTGCATCTTCCAGGAAGATTCTGGGTGATTAAAATTCATTGCAGAAACTGCTGCTGTTCAATTGATGTTTGTCTCTGCAATTTACACTTTCTGCCTCTTAGTAACTTTATCAGGTTTGGATGAAGAAGGAAAAGTTTTCAAATAAGCTAAAAGTATGTGTGTGTGTGTGTGTGTACATGTCTAATGTGTGCATGATAGTTTAGCTACCTCTGACAGGCATATTATATCATCCTCTTTTCAGGTCCCATGTGGCTAAAACTCAGTCAGATTTAAAATTGTGTCACTTGTATACAAGGGTACTCACATTCATGCCTGAAGTTATTAGGCTGAGAGCTACCACTTTTGAGAATATGCAGGGTAGTATCTAAATACTGAGGAGACCACATCATTCATTCACTTGTTCTCTCAATCTACAAAGATTGACTAAATGCCTATGTTTTATAATGTAAGGACTGCTGTCCCTGCTTCTGAGTTGCTTATAGTGTGGCAGAAAGGGTGTAACTCTGTAATACAAGGTATGATGTTTGTTGCTAGTATTTCCAAGAAAGGGAGTGGGGAAGAGAGCAAAGAGTAACTCTGGAAAGTCCAGGGTGGCGGCAGGTCAGCCGAGTAGCTCAGGGTACCCTGTACATGAGGCCAGAGGTGAGAGGCTCATCCTCGGTGGACGGGGAGGAGAAACTGGAAGAACATCAAAGTGCAATGTTTCTTATTTGTGTCCAAGTGAAGGCATTTTAGAACTGGACTCCCCCATTTGAATGATAGCTTTACTTTCTATCAGATAGATGCCAAGTCAAATCTCTATATAATTAGTTGTAATAAAGTTTTCAAGCAAAGACAGTAGACAAAACCTAACACAAAACATATGCTAATTTGTCATAAAGATAAAGAGGGACTGCTTGGAAAGTTCTTATGCATGCTTTCTCAGAAGTCCTTGAACCGTCTATCCAAAGACTTTGATGCACAATTTTCTGTTCTACATGATTCCATGTCCACAGCGTCTTGTGCTCTCATTGTCTTTTTTTCCCATGGTCTTTCAAAATCTGCATCTCTTTCCAAATCTGAATGTCATAACTCAACTATATGTGACTTTCTGACATTGTCTTTTCAGCCAGCCTCCAAACAGTTTTCTGAGTTGTCCCTTACTTCCTCTGTAAAACTAGATTAATAGAATTTAGCAAAAAGTCGGAGGGAAATGGCCCTTCATAGTTGGCTTCAAGTAGATCATTAGTTGGGGGGAATTTTATCTTTCAGTTGTCTTAATATGTGTGTGAATTTGGTTTCAAGGCGATGCCTCACAACATTCCTTCCACAAAGATTGATGGCGCACCTGTAGAGTGTAAGGCATTAGACCTGGGGCGGCATGGAGAAACACATTGCAGAAAAGTCAGAGTCCTTCCTTTTCATGGAGCCTTTGATCCAAAAAGACAGTAGAATAAAGTTGTAACCCAGGGTCATTAATTCTAGAAAAGTCTTATCTGCCAAGTAGAGTGGGGCCATGGAGGGAGAGGCAGCCGGCTCTGCTGAAGGTGATAATAACACATCTCTCAGAGGAAAGGACTTGGAGCTGAATTTGGAACAACGCGTTCCCCGGCCTTTTTCAACCTGTTTTCCATCCCAATAAGAATGACATGTGTCATTCATCTAACCCTAGATGATACACTCAGGTGGGCACAATCAGATTTTGGTAAAAACATAACAAATTTTGTAGGGCTAGAAAGCATGTAATGCCATAGGTGCTCTTTCTTTTATTGTTACTTATAAAAGATTTTATAAGGATGTGATTCATGAAATTATAAATGTGAAATTTAAATAGCCTTTATATAAGGAAAAAAAATAAATATGGCTACTTTTTTTTTTCAATATTGAACTTTATTTTAATGGGCCTATTTTTTTCCCTTAGGGTTTTACTCCATAGGTAATATTAACCAGGCAATCATGTATGTTTAATTATAACTAAACCGTATACTGGGTCACTGAATTCTCCCAACAATATTTTATGTCGTTACTATTTTTCCTGTGTCATGTAACTAGGTAACTGGGGGTGAGAGAAGGTAAATAATTTGCCCGGTGTCACTCAGCTAATACAGCGGCTGGGGTTCTGGCCCCTGCAGATGGGGACCAGGGCTCGTGCTCATAACTCCTGTGGCATAAAATCACAGTACTTCCATGAGTAGAGACTATCTAGATGGAGAGAGGAACTTTTGATCGTGAATTCCTTAGGGGAGTTGGGTAGGCGAGGCAAAAAAAGTCAGGGAGAAGATAGATTTTTAAAAAAAGTTTTATACCTTCTTCTACTTGAATTAAAACAAACAAAAAGTACTTTTACAATAGTCGAAGTGCTAGAAAAGAAAAAAAAAGAATTTCAAAAAATTTAACACATTATTATCAATATTACTGTACCTTGTGCTTGGATTTGCATCGGAACTACTGTCTTTATTGGGGAATGCACGGACGGTGTCTTTCTCCTGTGCAGCGTTACACCCAGGGCGGGTCCCGGCTTCACTCCGCCTTGCCTTGCTTCCTACTAGTGCTGCATCTGTCCATCATTTCAGTGGGAGACTCACGCAGCCCACTCCTGGCCACACAGCAAAGACAAGACAGGGCATGGGTTATATCCCCTTCCCAGTGTGTCAGCAGAGACCCCGCCACTGGGCCCCACTCCAGAAAGCATGTCAGAATGTCACCCCGTGAGACACATCAGGGCAGAGCGACCCTTGAATTCTCTTCCTTGCCTTTTTAAGGAAGTTACTCACAAACCCAAGTACCTTATTGTTAGCAAATAGCTTCACAATACATCCTGCAGCTGCTGCAGGCACACCAGTGTCGGCCACTAAACCCAGTCTTTGCAAACAGCAGCTCCAGGCCAAGGAAGGGGAGAGGTGGGTTCCAGGCAGAGGGAACACGTGGTAAAAACAAGAAGCTTGTGTGGTGGAAACTTCCAGTGCGGGGTATGGCAGGGGCGAGGAAACGTTGGACGTTAGACTGGAAAGAAATTCAGACTGAACTTCAAAGGGCCTTGAAAATGTTGTCTACAGTCTGTGTGACCTGCGGCAGATTGGACGAGCCTCAGTGTTTCCTATCCTTAACATACAGGCCATAATACCCCCTTCACCAGGCTGTGACTATTAAGTAAGAAACGTGCTAGAGGCCCGGCACGGAGATGCACACGGTGAATGTTGGTAGCAACTCATCTCACTGGTTCCCAGCCTTCCAGCTCCCACGCAGATAAAGGAATGTGGACTTTGTCCTGTGACGGGAAGCCTTCAGGAGTCTTAAGGAGAAAAGCCCTGTATGTGATCAGAACAGAGGCCTTTCTTTCAAAGACGGCGCTCTGGCAGCCATGTGCCAGGTGGGAGGCGGGGGGGGGGGGGAGGCGGGGGAGGGGGCGGTTGGAGGAAGGCAAGATTGGGGGAGGGGAGCGACAGAATATACTGAATCACCTAATTTCAGTAAATTTTGCTTGGGAGGTTACTTCCTAGCTCCTTAAATAAGATTTCAAATATTTTTTAATGCTGATTTGACTTTCTTGGAGCCTTCTTGGTCTTTCTGTTGCTTCCCAGGGACTACAGGTGTACAGTGTAATCTTGATCCCACATTTTTTTCCTTTTGTCACCTTGCCCGATAGCTGGTTCCCTGTGTCTGCTGTTGCCACAACACCACTGCATCTTGTGCTCTCTTCCTTAAAACACCACTTCAGGTTTAATCTATGTTTATGAACGGTTTCAAAGAAGAGCTTCTGTTGCCTCCTGAGCCTGGGAATCCTGTCATTTACTTTGGCATCGTAGGAGTCTCCTAGTCCTATATTGTTGGCTAAACAAGAAAGTATTTTTACGTTGGCACATCATTTTAATAGGTTTTTAAAGCATCATGGTATAGAGACCGACATTTAAATATTGGCCCTTTGGTTTACAACTTGTGTGACTTTAGGCAAATCACGTATCCTCTCTGAGCCTCAGTTTCCAGATCTATGTAAGGCACAAGGCTGTTGTGAGGATTAAATGAGATGTATACAGTGCTTGGCTCATGGAAAGTACTAATAGTTTATATTTCTGAATCCCTTAAAATGAAACTTTTCCATCCAAGACTCATTTTTAGATTAATTATTATCCTTATTTTTTTAAGGCAGCAGACTGTGCTGGGAAACTGTTCATCTTCCATTCCTCCCTGCCAACTGCAGAAGCACCAGGGAAGCTCAAAAACAGAGATGATAAAAAACTGATTAACACAGACAAAGAGAAGGTATCTGTGAATGATCGCCCTTTGAAGTGTCTGTATGTCAGTTCTTAAAAGGGAGTGAAGAGACAGGGAAAGTGTGCTTTGTGTAGGAAAAGGGGAGAGGTTAAATGTAATGTATAAATCCAGGACGTTGTATGTTGCAGAGAGAGTGTGAAGTGCAATTAATTTAAGAAATTGTGTGTTCCTACAAAACCTGATGTCGGAAATATACCTGCATTAAGATAAGGTCTCAACCTTTTTTCACATATGATCTGTGTGAGAGACTGAGAGATAAGGCTATTCCAGACACGGGAGAAATGGGGGAAATGCAAACGGAAGATCAGGGTAGAGGGAGAACGTGGGGGCTGCACACGACAGCACTTTTGAGCTATCAAGTAGAGGTGGCTGGTGCTCAAAATCCGCTTTGCTCCAGCCTGTGGGCAGTGTAGCCATGGGGACAAGTCAGTGGGAAGGATGACCCATGAGGTGGCAAGGTGCCTCATCTCGGTATGTGAGCGGGAGAGCACTGCCGGCTTCACTAAAGTTGTCGGAGGTCACACACAGTTGGGCACACGTTTCACACGGCACATGCCGGGCACACACACGGTCTTAGGCAGTGGCCGCTGCACTTACGATACCACAGCTCATTCAGTCACCCCGGGCCACTTAACTGGAAAAAAAGAATTTTTTTCCATTAAAAAAATTCAGTAAGAATCCAGTAGAAATGAAAAACCAAAACCAGAAACATGATGTGGTTTTCTTTCTCCTCGGGTGCCTCATCGTCTCCAGATCCTCTTCCAGCCCCAGACAAATGTCTACGACTCGCTGGCCAAGGACTGCGTGGCCCACGGCTGCTGTGTTACGCTCTTCCTCTTCCCCAGTCAGTATGTGGATGTGGCCTCCCTGGGGCTCGTGCCTCAGCTCACTGGAGGGACCCTCTACAAATACAACAACTTCCAGGTAAATGCCAGCACTTTGCTGGCCTCCTTTTTCTGCTGCCGGTTTACTTTGGGTGCTTAGATCGTAGGTTGAGAAAGCTGTGCCCCCTTGTGGGCAGCTGACAGGTGTAAACTCTAGAGGGGACAGAAACGGGTGCACAGGTGGTTACGTACCTGCTTTCCTCTCCCTCAGTGTCTGGCAACAGACTGAGCTTGTTCAGCCGCAGGGTTGAATGTCAATGTTAGCTTCCATGCTGGAGGGAAAATTTATTTTATATAAAATTTTTACATTTTTTATTACATATCTTAAGATACTGTTTTTAAAAGTGACCACATACTTGTTTTAACTTGTTATGATTTGGGGGCCAGTTCATTCTACCCTCTCTTCCAAGCCTGAACTGAGAGACAGAGTCGAGAGATGATCAGAATGTCAGCACCGTAATGGTCTGCAGGCAAGTGGGCTCGCTAGACTTCACCCCTCAGTGAGACAGACTCACACCCAGAGGCATAGAGTGGGCACAGGTACAGGCTTCGCCTGTGGACACCTGTCCCTTGCAAGCTACCGTACTGAGGGCCAGGAAGTGTGTGGTCCTGCAGGCAGCCTGCCTCCCCAGGATGCAGAAGAGGCTGAGCTATGTGCACCTGGATCCTGTTCCCACACCTACACAGCAGAAAAGTCACCTGCCATCGCTGGAGGGGAAGGTGTTGGGGCGAGGGGAGCCTCTAAGATATGTACCTCCATGTGGAAACATGGAGTGTTCCCCCAACGTAAATGACAAATGTTAATCATCTATTTTTATTTCTCATCAATACAAAAAAAATCACTGGGCTACATATTTACCAGCTAAGGGACTTGATAAGACCAAAGATTACAAATGAAATCACATTGAAAAGGCTTTAAGAACCCTGTCTAAGATTTCTGGATAAAGTGGGTTTTAATCGAATTTTTTTTTTTTAAATAAGAATTCGTATTTTAAGTATTTTACTGCCACCTGGTGGACAATGACCATACTTTATTTTTCAGGTGCACTTGGACAGTCAACAATTTTTGAATGACCTCAGAAATGATATTGAAAAGAAAATAGGATTTGATGCTATTATGAGAGTTCGTACCAGCACAGGTACTATTCCTTTGTACTGTTTTTAGGTCTTTATTGGTCAGTTGTTTCCACTTCAAACTAATAACAGGCCAACAAAGAAAACAACAGTAAGATGAGAAGCCCAATTTCCCTTTTTCCTCATCCTTAGGTTTCAGAGCCACTGATTTCTTTGGTGGCATTTACATGAACAACACCACCGATGTAGAGATGGCAGCCATCGACTGTGACAAGGCTGTGACTGTGGAGTTCAAGCACGATGACAAACTCAGTGAAGACAGTGGAGCCTTAATCCAGGTGATTTAAAATGTTTTTGCTTTGTTGCTGACAGTGGTAAGTGGGGAGCCTCAAATACCGTGAACTATGTTAGTCTCTCTGTTAAGAAATTCAACTCTATTTCTCCAAAGGCAGAAGTCACTAGATTAGAGTGCTCTGATTCATATGCTGTTTACGTGAAGGAATGATGGTTTTGTGTTTGCACGAGGGCCCCGCCGACTTGAGGTCAGGATGTCAGGCGTCAGCACACTGGCTGCCGGCCCCCTCAGTTCTCTTGGGCTCCGGGACCCACTCGCTCCCTCCTTTGCTGCGCTCCTGCCAGACGCCAGACACTGTGCTGAGCACATGTTGTCATGTCACAAGCAAGTATCAACAGGAGTTGGCTTGGTAGTAAATGAAATTTAGAAGCCATGGAGGCTTAGAATTAAAACAGGAGAAATTCTAACAGTCATAGTTTTCAGACATGAGCATCGTCACCTCCTCCAGGGAGAGAGGCTGCCATCGAGTTAAAGAAGAACTCTAACGTGCACTCCTGAAACGGATACATGTATCATTTGTATAAAAACCGAGTGCATCACCAAAGCTAGTTGTCTGTTTTTAAGCAAAGTGAGCCTTGAGCAGGACTATGAGAACATGCAGATATTATTTCTGAACCTGAATCCCTGACAGTGAAATCTGAGATGGGAAATGTAGTCTAGTTTTGGAAGTGCAAACAGATCTTTGACGTGAAGAACTGTGTTAAAACGACTGAAATGCTACATGGAAACCCAGTGTATTCCTCCCTCATGTGTTGTTGTTCAATCCTTAGCAAAAATGGAAAAAATTTTGCGGGCAAGTTTAGAGGTCTTTTAGCTGCACAGGCCGTTCTGTAAACAGAAGTCAGGCTAGCTTGGGTGAATGTGCTAACCAGAAAAACACGCGCGCTCGCTGTTGCCCCCGCAGTGTGCTGTGCTCTACACGACCGTCAGTGGTCAGAGGAGACTTCGGATTCACAACCTGGGCTTGAACTGCAGCTCCCAGTTAGCTGATCTCTACAAGAGCTGTGAGACAGATGCCCTCATCAACTTCTTCGCCAAGTCAGGTAACGCTTCGCTAATCCTGTGCTGCAGGGGACCTTGCCTGGTAATTCAGGCGAGCCCTGTTGGCTGCAGCCTTTTGATGGGTAAATTCACCATTTATAAAAGCAAACAGTGAAAGAGAGTGGTCAGCATCTCTACCTCTAGACGAATAAGGAGAGAACGGAGTCCGGCCCATGCCATCCAGTTTTGTTTAAAGTTTCCTTCCCAGGGAGCTGAGCTGAAACTGAGGAAGATGATACTCAGACCCATGGTGGCATGTGAGCCTGCCCTCTGGCACGCGGGGATAATGGAAGAAGTGAGCTGACCTCACTCATCCATTCCAAGAGAATTAGGTAATAGTAGGGGCCCGAGGTAGAGTTTTCTGGCTCCTTCTCCCCCCTTGCCCTAAACCCCAGTTGAAATTCTACACTAAGATTTAGAAGAAAGAACAATCCAGCCGATAGGAATTCAGAACATTAGAAGATGGAAGACTGGTCTTTCTTTTCTTTGCGTGTAGAGTTCTGTTGCTAATACTCTGAGAAAAAATCAGGACCAGTTAATCTGCCTTTTGTTATAGGTACGTATTGTTCTCCATTGGCCTGATCATCATACTTAGTCAAGAGGAGAGCATTAGCAAATGACTTGAACATTTTTAAGTGCTGTTATTCCCTGCTGAGTGGTCTCAAGATAATAGCAATTTGTTCTTCTTTAGTATTATAAAAATAATCAATTTCTGAGCTAAACTTTGATGCCCTTTTCATTGTTTTGTGCAAATAGCTTTTAAAGCAGTTTTACACCAGCCCTTGAAGGTCATTCGGGAAATTTTAGTTAATCAGACTGCCCACATGTTGGCGTGTTACCGGAAGAATTGTGCAAGTCCACCTGCAGCAAGCCAGGTAAGCCACCTGCTGTCCTCAGGTGCTAAAGTGTTACCAACGACTTCTTGTTCACTCAGCATCCTGCTCGTAAAGGCTTATCATGTTCCAGGCACTTAAATGCTGTGCAGTAAACCATATAACCAAGAAGACTGACAATGCCATTTGGGGGGACTGTGGTATTTTTACAGCTAACGTTAAAAAACTTACTGGCTTTACAAGATGCATGAACCCAAAAAATATGTGTGCAGATTAGGTTGACAGCCACTACATTATGTATAAACAAAAGAATGTTATAGGTAAGAAATGTCAATATAAATGGGATTCTCTCTTGCATACAGAGATGGATATTACATTGTGAAATGTGGATGCTTAAGTACCTTTTGGACATATTAACAAAGCTGACATGCGCCAATGGCAGTAATGGCTTCTTGATCTCTTACAAACATAAATACAGTTTATAAATTTCAGAGTTCTTTTTATTTAAAAATTAATAATAGGTATGAAGAGTTTTGAAAGAACTAGTAATTTGTAGTAATTTGAAATTTTAGATCCTTCAGATAAGCCTGTCTCTTGTAAAAACAAAAGAGTAGAACTTATGCACATTCATTTTGCACCTGTCCTTTTTCATATTCTTCCGTATGTGAATTAAAGTAAGACGCCATTTTTCACAGTTGTGTGTTGAATATCCGAGTATAGAATTTGAATTAAAAAGAAGACAGTGAAGAACATACGGGAAGACGTTCTGGCTTTAACTCCTGGTTGATAGTGAGTGCTGGCAGGACACCGGAAACCCCACCCAGGGCAACCCTGCAGAAGCAGCGGTGGTGCAGGTACCTCTGGGGCCAAATTCATAATCGGAGTGAAGAAGGAAATGCAAACAAATGCAGATAGTTAGTTAGCTTGGACTTGACACAAAAATTCCTTTCTGTGCTGTCCAGACTGATTAAAGCAGCATCCGTTCTTTCATCTCCTGTTGATAATCACAGGAGCAACTCTCGAATCTGTATGTCAGTCCTCTTTATTACCCAGAGGAGTTGCCAGTTTGGGGAACTCCGGTATCAGTCCTACTTCAGAGCACGCGTGTTTAATTTCCACAGAGCCCACCAGGTGCAGCTGGACCTAGTCCAGCCCCGATCACTTCATAGCCCAGTTTTGCTATTTGTTTTTGAGCTCTGGAAACATGACTGTCTCTGGCGTAGCTCACACTTCAGAAGGATTCTTTGAAGAAGAACAGGTACGGTTAGTGTCCTCTCAGGAAGTTTATTTGCTAATCTTTAAACAACTGACTTCAAAAACCTTAAGTTAAAAACAAATCTATTGCCTATTTAAGGAAAGAAATAAAATTTGTTGGTTCCTCCTGGTTTAAAATTAAAAGCTTTGCCTTACTACTAGGCCCTGTTTCCACAGTTTAATTATTTCTGGAGTAACAATGTTATGATGCCAATATTTTTCTCAAAAAAGTTGATAAAGGTTATTCCTGTTCTTTTGGAGATTTTTCTTTCTCCTCTAGCACATTTCAAGTGTACGTTTAACTTAGGTCCCCTTGGATTATCCATCATGGAGTGGGGAAAATGTAGATAAAACTGTTAGCAACTATATTAAAATATACCATTATTTAAAAATAGAATGGTTAGACTTGGAGTTCTCTTTAGAGAATGTAAATTCAGAGATTTCAGATTTGGTGGCCTTCCATAGTTTACTTGCAAGAAGTAATTTCTGTAGAGAGATTCATTGAGGAATTCCACCCTTTTACCATAGACCCCAAAGTTTCCTAGATACAAGCAAGACTGTTAAGGAACTTTACACCCAGATTATATGTTACTGGACCTTAGCAGACCTGCTTTTCCTTAGGGTGCAAAATTTAAAGAGGCATCCACTCTGGGGGCCATAGGATGGATGCTGGGTTAAGACACATAACTAAAAACAGCATGAAAACAATTTTTAAAGCTTACATAAGCAAAATAATTTTTTTTAAATTAAATCTAGTAACTCACTGTTCTGAACTTAAATATGTTGCATCATGTGGAAGTACACCGACTTCAAAAGGCGAGTCAATGACCTTAACTGCAGTTTTTTTTTCATTACCACATCTATTCCTTCAAAACCCCAAAGAAGAGACAGATTCTGCAGATTCAGTCAAACTGGATTCATATGAATTTCCACTCCCTCCTTACTCACACCTTTTCTCCCCTAGAATAATTTCGTTATTTATGGAGCGGGTCAGGGAGGCGGGGAAAGATTTTAAGTAGTGATCTGTTGCCACCATTTTCTTCCCCACCTCAAAAACACGGACTGATACTTTCACTTCATTTTTCTTTTTTACCATAAATTTCCCTTCTTACTTCCTCCGTTTCCTTCCCTCTGCCTCCATAATCCAGTCACCTCTCATCAGACTTAACAGTCCTGATACTGTTACCAGGGATTAAGCTCATCTTTTTGTGGTATTTAGGACAACAGATTTCTAAACTGTATTAATATGACCTGATTAATGAGAAGCCACCAGTGACTTGCAAGATATTAAAAAACTGCATGACCATGCTTCTATATGGGAGTTTAATAACATTCTTAATCCATAACGTGTAAGATGCCTAACTGGTAATTAGCCCAGAAATAGCACTGAGGCCGCATGGTTCTGGAATATGACAATGATCTGTGTCCTCCATCTCTGGGTCTTAATTTTCCTCGGCTGAAAACATAATCCACTACCAAATGTCAAATAAAAGTGCTTTCTGCTAAATAAGTCAGACAGAGAAAGACAAATACCATATGATTTCACCTGTATGTGGAATCTGAAAAACAAACCAACCCCCAAAAGCTCACAGATACTGAGAGCAGAGTGGTGGAGCCCACAGGCATGAGGGGTGGGGAGTGGGCAAAAAGGGGCTCCGAAGGCACAAGCTTCCAGTTATAAAATAAGTCACGGAGATGGACGGCATGGCAACTCTAGTCAATACTATTATCTTGCACATTTGAAAGTTGCTAAGAGAATAAATATTAAAAGTTCTTATCAGAGGATAAACATCCTGTAACAGTATGGTGACAGATGCTAACTTGATTTATTGTGGTGATCATTTTGCAACATATAAAAACATTGAATTATTATGCTGTATACCTGAAACGAGTGAAACCTAATGTTGAACATTGATCATACCTCAATTAAAAAAAATAAGAAAACTTTATGCTAGAGGAAAAATCACAAGACAATAAAGTGTTCTACTCATATGAGGAAACATGCATTTATGTAAGTCTTTGGCTCTTTGAAAGGAGAGAAAAGTTGAGAGGGAAAACAAACTGCAAAGTAGAATTGCTCTGAAATATTTTTGCCTGAGCTAGTTAGTTCTGTCTCACCCATTTCTTACTTAGTGGATCATGAGAAGACACCTAAAAGGGATTTTAGTTGAGGAACAAACCCTAACAGAGCCTTGAGGGAATGTTTCTTTCAGTGTGGATTCTGGTCAGTGTATATTCTTTTTCATCATTAAGATAGCTAAAAAGAAATCAGGAATTTATAGACCAGATATTTCTATTTGCAAATTATCATTACCTCCTATATATGTATTTCTTCCAGATACTTCTTTGTCCATTGATTTGCTGTTCAATGGGAGGAAGTGACACTCAGACCAGTCAGTCTTGACTCTTAGCCACATTTATGAAACTGAGTTGAGAAGCAGTTTAAACACACAGGCAAATTATTTGTAATTTTTTTAACCCATCCAGTTGTTTCTAGAATTGCTGCGTAGTGTTACTATTTGTAGCATCACATTATGGTATGTACTTTGAAGCGGTGAGCACGAAGTCAGAATGAGGTCAGGTGAGCTAAAGTGAGGATGGAGAGGAGGGTACAGGTGGATTATAAAGACAGAATAGAAAGAAGTCATTCACTCATTGAAGGTGAAGCAACAGTGAAGTTAGGGTTCGTCTGGTAGTTCTAGTATCTAAAATAGGAAACACAGAGGAAGAACATGTTTGTGGATTGTAGGAGTTTGGTTTTTTCCTGTTATCATTCAGTAGTGACACACCTAATTCATTCCCGAAGCATCTCCTGTTTTAGTTTCTCTCTCTCGTATTGCAATTTCCTTATTATAGTTTACCTATTTACATGTCTGTTATCCCCAGTGGGTGTTAGACATCTTGTGACGTGGACCCTGCCTCACTCCTCTGTAGCACGTTGATATTTTGCTTGGAACCTGACATGTGGCACTCGTTCAGTGTGTGACGAGTCTGTGCGAGTTTAAGATGCACAAGGCGCAAAAAGGAAGTGCTATCTTGTGGGCAGTTGGAAATGCTGTTCTTGAACTCCAGTTATTTCCTAACCTGTGTTACCAACTTCTACTGCTTATTTATTTCATTTTTATTTAGTAAATACATATATGATGCTATGTGCCAGGCATTATTTATGAGTGCTTCACAAATTGAAAATCATTTAATCCTCGTAACAACCCCATGATTAGGAAGTAGAGGTGCTTCTCTTTTCCTCAGCAGAGAAAGAGGGCACGTGACTTGCCCAGGGTCACACATCTGGTAGGTGGCAGAGCCTGGGCAGCCTGGGCAGGGGTTGCGCTGGTGATGCCGATGCCAAGCTGCTGGGGCACCAGATAAAACACAACCACTGCCGTCCTCTGAACGTCTGCTCTGGGCCAGGTTCCGCACTCTGTGTGCTTTGCGGGGGTTGCCATTTAGTCCTCTCCACGACCACAAAAGCAAATGTGGCTTCTATTTTACAGGTAAAGTGCAGCGGGTCTTGATTCTCAGTAAAAACCAAGCATCTGAAACAACTGTCTCTCTCTCAGCTTATTTTACCAGATTCCATGAAAGTACTGCCGGTGTACATGAACTGTTTGTTAAAAAACTGCGTGCTGCTCGGCCGGCCAGAGCTCTCGACGGACGAGCGCGCGTACCAGCGGCAGCTGGTCATGACCATGGGCGTGGCCGACTCGCAGCTCTTCTTCTACCCGCAGCTGCTGCCCCTAGTAAGCGCGCGGCGGCGGCGCGCTGCCGGGAGGGAATCGTACTTTGCCCTTACTTAGTAGATCATGAGAAGAGAACTACGGTAAAAGGTTGAAGTTGAGGAACAAAATCCTAACAGCGGAGGGAGGGAAGGAAGGAAAGGATGGGTGGATGTTCTGACTCCTGCCTCTCCCTGCACAGCACACGTTAGATGTCAAAAGTACAAAGTTACCTGCTGCTGTTCGTTGCTCTGAGACCTGTCTTTCAGAAGAAGGAATATTCCTGTTGGCTAATGGGCTAAACATGTTCTTATGGTTGGGAGTAAGCAGCCCACCAGAACTGATCCAAGGAATTTTTAATGTGCCGTCCTTCGCACATGTCAACACAGATATGGTAAGTTTATTTTTTGCTTATTTTGTGGTGGTACACTTCTTAAATGTTTTTTGTTCATGTGCAGCTATGTATCACAAAGAAAAAACAAGGTATTGTTCTATATATGAGAGAATTTCATGTTTCATACACGTTTAGCTACAGACGTCAGTTTAATCACAAAGTAATAATCCCACAAAAAGATTATGTGCCCCTCTTCAGTTATTACAAAAGAGCTTGTAGGTTTGATGTGGAACAAATGACTTTATTTTTAAAGTATATTAGGAAAAACCAACAATTATAATTTGCTTGAGAGTCCACACTGATTGCATGCCTTACTTGCAGACCACTGTGGTGTGAGCGCCATCGCTATGATGGTTGTTGTCTTATTCCGCTTGACAGTGGAGTCCTTATGAATTCACACGTAGAACTCAGCAGATGGTATGTTCCTTGAGTCCTTATTTGGGCAAGACGGCTTAAGGCTAGTTCATCCCTGAATTTCTGTTATGAAGGTAGATACACAGCATCTTGGAGGAGGGGGTAGGATTAAAATTTCAGGCTAAATAGACAGGTGGTCAGTTTAGAGAGCTGCATGTCCATTATGAATGTCAAAAAAATGTCTAAAGGAATTAGAGGAGTCCATATCCCATTAAGATACTAAGAGAGAAGATATCATTGAAAGACTAGTTTTAAGATGATGAAGAGAGAAATAGTAAGATGTCTGTATGTTGAAATTAAGGAATGATACAGGCTTTTAAAAATTAATTAAAATTCAGTGGCCAAAGACCTATGAGCCTGACGAATGTTTATTAAGGAAGCCTCTTATTTCACAGGGTATTTATCAAAGTAAATGTCACATGTGTTTTTGCTGAGTTGAAACAGCCGAAGTCTGTCCCCTACGGAGCAGCAGCAGGCTGCTGGGGGTGTGCTTGCGTCCAGCGCACCTCTTCCCAGCCTTCTTCAAAAACCAAAAGGAAAAACCAAATGTTGCTTTCTTTTTAGAGGAAGCTGGCACTTTGAGACATATATATATATATATATATATATATATATATATATATATATATATATATATATAGTATATATTATT